TAGAAAAAAAGTAGTTGGGACGCTCCAGGTAACAGTTCTAACGGTCCCGCGCCTATTGTCCTTCAAGTTAAGACGCACCAAGCGAGCGAGACAAGTGACGATTTATGTAGGTACACGATTTATGAAAGAAAAAATGTGTAGAGACCGGTTAGGGCTGGGAATACAACAGGGGGCATTGTTTGGTTGTCACTAGTTGTCAGTCTGCTTTTGTGCTTCGTACATAGTAGATGTGATATCGTTTTGCTCTTTTTCTCGACTTGGCTGTGATTCTGGACTATTTCTTCTGATTTGTGACTACTGTGCTTGTTAACCGGACTCTGATTTGTACCTGTGATACGGAAGTGTTGAAGATGACGTCCTACACACCTGAGGAATATGCTTATATGCTTATTTGTTACGGATACTGCGATTGTGTGTCTGCGCAAGCTCGCAACGAATACATAACTCGCTACCCTGGTCGTCGAGTGCCGGATGTGGCCGTTTTTGACAGAGTTTATCGAAGACTTCGAGAAACTGGCTCTGTTTTGAGACGAAATACAGACATGGGAAGACCACGAATTGACGACGAAGAACAGGACAATGAGATAGTGCAACGCTTTCGAGCGGATCCGACTACTTCCACTAATATTGTTGCCCGTGATCTGGGACTTTCGCAATGGAGAGTGTGGTTTACAGTGCATACTGCTGGCCTATACCCGTACCATTACACGCCGGTACACGTTATTGAAGAAGGACACCCCGCGAGAAGATTGGACTTTTGCAGATTTATGCTAAATGCTGACGTAGAAGACCCAGATTTTCTAAGAAATATCTTGTGGATGGATGAGTCCAAATTTGATAAAGATGGCATAACTAACTATCACAACGCCCATTACTGGGCCCCAAAATAACTAAGGAATCCCAATAAGAAAAGAGTGAAGGGGTCCCAACGAAGATTCAGCGTGAATGTGTGGATGGGCATTATCTCCAATCATTTGATTGGACCTTACTTTCTCCCGGATAATCTAAATGGGGAAAGCTACGAAAATTTCCTGAGAGCAGACTTGAGTGATTTGCTGGATGATCTGCCACTCAACCTGATCAGGGACATGTGGTTCCAACACGATGGCTGCCCTGCCCATTTCAGGAGAAGTGTCAGGGACTGGCTGGACACAAATTATCCAAACAAATGGATAGGACGAGGTGGGCCGTTGCCATGGCCAGCAAGAAGTCCGGACCTAACCCCCATGGATTTTCATGTGTGGGGGTGCATGAAAAGTCTTGTGTACAGCGAGCCGAATCCAGTTTCGTCTGTGGAAGACTTACGAGAAAGGATTGTGGATGCAGCAAATAAAATGAGGACCACGTTGACCACTGGAGTAGTGAAGACTGGTCTCCGTAGAAGGATGCGACAATGTATCAGAAATAGAGGCGGCCATGTTGAACATGAACTGTAGAATAAGAAAAAGTTGTGTGAAAACCTTTAATAAATGACATTTCATGCTTAACTATTGTTTTATTTTACTTTTTTGGGCTAAGTATAAATTTTCTTCTCCACTGTCGCCTATGAAACTAAAGTTTTTTCAATGCATTTGAATAAAACCTTAGATTATTATACCTCGTTAGATAGCTGATGAAACGTAGATATTTTAAAAAACATCTGCCGAACAATTACCATAATATTGTTTTTAGATATCCGTTAGAGAAAAATAATTTTCTAATATTTTTTTTTATTTCTTTACTTTCACTTGTCTACTACGATCTATTCAATTAACTTATGAACTATTTTAATTACTGACGTCCTAAAGCATCTTATTACACATGTAAAAATGCAAAAATAATAATAATAAGATACACAAAATAAACAAAAATAAATGTAGTAGCCTAAAAATCAGCAAATTTCAATAAAAAAATTAAAAGACGATTATCTCGAAAAGGGTTAAGTTTAGGGTAGGGTGTTTCATAGTGAAATATGTCAGAAATGATGGGTACTCCACGCCCTTAACGGATCTAGCACGACTTTTCTTATAACCCTGTATAATTTGGCAGCGCGTTTAGTGTATTCTCTATTAGCAAATTTAGTTTTAGTAACTGGTACTTCCACAATAACATCTTTACGCCTTCCCAGCATGAGACCAGAATTATTTGAAAGTGTCTTGTGTTTGTTTAAAACGATTTTAATAATATAAAGTTTTCTGACAGAGAGCAGGCCACTAATCTGATAAAGTCTTTCAGTAGGGTATCTGTTCCTTCTTGCAAAATTGCAAAATCTTTATTTGGTTGTGTACGATTAGTGATGGTAAAACATATATACTTAGTTTTTACTGTGTTTAATGTTAATAAGTTGTCATTAAGCCAGTTAGCTACAAAGACCATGACCGTCTCTGCGCTGTACTGAACGTCATGCCACGTGTTGACGTAAAATGTGACAGCAGTATCGTCAGCGTATGAGATTATTTTTGCATTATTGATTTTTAGGTTACATAAATCATTTATATATATTAGAAATAATGTTGAGCCTAAAACACTTTCTTGAGGTACTTAAAGATACTTCTGTATCATTACTAATGTATGATCCTATCTTGACCCTTTGCTTTCTAATTGAAAGGTAATCCTTAAAAAAATTCAGAGGGATTCCTCTTACTCCATAACTTTCCAGCTTGGTGACAAGTGTCGGAACCGAAACGGTGTCAAAAGCTTTTTTGAGATCTAAGAACATCGTCAGGCATTTCTTTCCTTTTTCTAAATGTTCAGTAACTAAAGAAGTGAGGGCTGTAACCGCGTCCTCAGTGGATATTCCCTGTCTAAAGCCAAATTGCGCTGTTGAAATTAATTTAAATTTATTCAGGTAGTTTAAGGGTCGCTGCGGCCACATCTTGGGGCTATGTGGCCGCTGCAAACGACCCGAGACAGAAGACACTCCGGTGCGGCCGGGGAGTTTTGTCCATGGAGGGGCGCTGTTGCGCCTCCTACTGTATAGAGTAGTGAAAGGCGCGGCAGCCTCCCGCCCTAGGGTGACTACAGTCACCCCGGGATGTGCCTCAGACATGGGGTACGGCAGGGAGGACTCCGGAAGCCGCCGATGCGTTCCTGGAGGTCCTCCTGACTGCCGAGGTAGGCCGCCGCGGAGTTTAGTGGGTAGACCGGTTCTCCGGGAGTCCCACACGAAAAGCATTCCCCGCGTTAAAAAAAAAAAAAAGGTAGTTTGTAAGTCCAGTGTTGCCAGAAAGTTACATTTCTAACATTTTTCGTAACTTTTGACAACCTCGTGTAACATGTTAAGTAATTTTTATATTTAAGGCATTTTTCGTAACTTTTTAGAACGATAATCTCGTTCTAAACGCTTGGAAAATGTTCAAAATTATTACGCAAATTCGCGTTCTCCTACCGCTACAGTAAGAGCTCTTCGCGCAAAAAACGGTAGTCATAGTGCTCCTTCTGTGCGCGCTATAAATCGCATAATAACAAGATTTGAAAGTAAATTCACTCTCCACGATACTGCTGTGCCTGTGAGACAAAGAAATGCCCGTAGTGAAGAGAATATCGCAGCCGTTCAGGCCAGTGTTGATGCGAATTCAAATCGATCAGTTCAATGCCGTTCACAAGACTTGCTCTCTCCAATGACCACCTGGCGTATTTTGCGGTTGGATTTGGGCCTACACCCATACAAAATTGTTTTGGCACAAGAATTGAAGCCATCCGACCATTGTATCCGTCGTGAATTTGCCGATTATGCACTGGAAATGATGGAAGCCGGTGACGATTTTCATCGTAAAATCATCTTCTCAGATGTGGCCCATTTCTGGCTCAATGGATTTGTTAATAAACAAAATTGTCGCTATTGGAGTGAGTCAAATCCACGAGTGGTTCATGAAATACCATTGCATCCTCAAAAAATAACAGTTTGGTGCGGTTTATGGTATGGTGGAATTATTGGTCCGTACTTTTTTGAAAGTGACGAAGGAAACCCTGTTACTGTGAATGGCGAGCGCTATAACTCATTTCTTTCCGGAATTTGATGATATTGATGCAGACGACCTTTATTTTCAACAAGACGGTGCACAACCTCACATTCCTCGAGTGAACATAGCCGACATACCGGCCGAATTGATGCACCGCGTCATCGAAAATTGGCGTGAGCAAAAAGAGCCGCGGCGGTCATTTGGCCGATATATTATTTAAAACATAAATTGCATAAAATTATCTATCAAATAAATCAATCGGATCATTTTTCATAAAAAATTGTGTGTTTTATTCAATTTTTAAACCAGGACGTTCTTATTGGTAGACCCCATACTAAGTCTTTCACTCCATATCAGTGATATGGAGTGAAATACTTTTAGCGCGTTGAGAGATGGCTCTGAATGTAACGAATGGAAAATGAAACAGCGATGAACGTGTGCGGGCATGTTTCCTACTTCTCAAGTTCCTGCCGTTCACGGTTTTGTAGCTACATGGCTAGAATAAATTTTAATTAAAAAAAAAAACATGCCTACAGAAAGTAGGCAATAATATTCTATAAGTTCAAAAAGAAAAATCATTTCATCGTAACAAAGCCTGGTGCTAGATCTTCAATGTAGTAAAAGTATTTTACTGACAGATATTGGTAAAAGTAAAGTTATTGTCTTATAAAATACCTTGAAAAACACCCCACATTTTTTTTAAGAAAAAGCGATTTTTCTTTTTAAATTTACAGGTAATTATTTCCTACCTTTTAGTTCGGCTAGCTACAATTTATTTTTCATTTTTAGTTATTAATGATGATTGTTGTCTTATAAAGACTAAAAAAGTAATAAGTAAGTTTATCACATGTGCTTCAGCACACGCCTTAGTATGTGGAGGAAAAAAAACTGTTAATACTGAAAGTCCTGATCAGGATAATATGACAAACTATTTAAATTATTGCATTATCATCGGTCTTACTAAAGTGTGCAAAGTTGTTTTGAAGTGGGTCAAAATTATGTGGTTACATAGGTACATACATACATAGTCAATAAAAGCCTGTTAAAAAGAAAATAAACATGGCTGATTGTGATTTGTTGATTGTAAGAAAAGTAAGTGAGTGAAGTTTCTGTGATTACATTTATTGTTAGGTAAGTAAGTTCATCGTCAAAGTTTTTGTTAGGTGTTTGAATAACTTCTCTTTGACCATTCCGAAATCAAAGGTCCGTAAAAGATTTAGGTTACTATTGTCAAAGCTCGAAAAGTCGTACTATACTGTCTTACCCATTAAAATTTGTCAACCAAGTACCTTTTTCGGAAACCTCGGGCTGAAAAATTGCAAACGAAAAACTGCCGGTCCAAAAACCAAAAGTAAAGATTAATGCCGATATTTATTTTTTTATGATAGAAATTATATACTACGTTATCTAGTACCTACGGTATCTAAATAAAAAAAATAATAAATTAAAAAACTTTTGCAGCAAAAATGTAACATTTCAGGAAACGAAATGTAACTTACTACTCGAGGGCCCTGGCAACACTGTTTCTCTTCACACCATTCTCGATATTTACAGTCGTTGTTACGCATGTGCGTACCTAATTTTCGCTTTTCTCCAAGTATCGCTTGTTTGCTAATAGGTAAGTTATTAAGCTTCATATTGTTTTAAGTTTAAAAGCTCTTATTTGATTTCATTTCTTTAAGTAAAATTTTTGGTTGTTTCAATCACTTTCAGAAATGCTTACTCGTTTTATTCTAATGTCGCCATTTTAAGGTTTACCACAAATCAAATTGATCCGAGGTGTAAACAGAATTCAATAAAACAATAAATTAATATTTGTTGATCCACCAATAATTTATTTTGAATTGAATTTGAATCTATATTTGTTAATATGAAATTGGTTTTACCCGCTTTTTGCTATTTAATACCATCTCATTCAAAATATTATTTTGTGTACCAAAGGAACAATATATACTTATTAAGTATATATTGTACGAAAGTATAATAAATACTTATTAAATCTATAAATTATGTATACCGTAGGCAATAAACTTACATTTTACGAAGATTTACTGAGTAGCTTCCTTCACTTTTGATGTCCAATGTCGCCGCCATATTCATTTAAATTTTTTAAACTTAGCTACTTACAGTTGAATATTATAATATGTAATAATGCTATGTAATTATATTTTAGTCTCGAATGTGCACAATTTATAACTTAGAAAATGCCAATAAAATAACTCTAAACTTAACTGTCGGTACCTACTTTACAATATCTGACGAACATAAATACTTGGTTGTTTTAAAGAAATGACGAGCAATAAATTATTTATGACACAAAAGAAAATAATGGACCTGTTTATCAAGCGGTTAGCGATCCTGGCCGCCTAGCCAGGTTATGGGTTTGATTCCCAATCACAAATGTGTAATGAGCACAATAATTAAATGTGATGATGAGGATTTGATGATCAAATTTTAGTCTGAGTGGATATTATGGATTTATTATAATTAATGTGTTTATCAGGGATTTGCTTACCGTTGAGCTGACAGCGCTCTTAGGGGTCAGAATCATTTATTTGTACACATAAGTCAAATTACAACAGAGTGTAAGATGTTACAGATAAGTAAATCCACCTATGTTTTGCCTAGAGGCATACAAAATATTTATGTAATTAACATTGTCAATTCTTTTTCTTACTTTTAATACACATACTTTTTAAAATATCATAAATTAGTAGGATTATTTAAACTTCCACATTATTAATAATGTCAACAAAATAATTAAAAATCACATGCATGTCAAAAAAATACAAAATACAATAAATTTTACTAAATGACAAATAGATTAAGTTAATGTATATTCAAAATCATGAAGATAGGTGAGGCATTGTACAATTTTCTGAAGCTTACTGCTTATAGAATAAAGACAAAAAATGTTAAAATTGGTTATGTCGTTTCAGAGAAGTGTAACCACAAACACTGTGACAAGATATATTTAAATATTAGATAAATAATTTATTATATTGAAATATTAGCAAAAGTATTTTTAGATGTTAAGATTGTAAACACTTAAGAAATTTTTGATGAAGTGACCTCTGCAACTTAAAATTTTCTATAGTTTGCAACCATTGATAAAGCCCTAAAAACCATTAATACTGGGTGTTTTAGATGTCTGAACGTGGAAGAGGTCGAGCTAGAGGCCGTGCAGGTCGTGGCAATGAACCAACTGGCCCTGCACCTCGACGGCCAGGTGAACAACCAGGGCCTCCACAACATCAACCAGGGCCTTCAGGTCCGCGTCCACAACCACCATCTGCATGGGGCCCTCCCACTGTGACCCCTCCCGTAAGAGCTGGAGTACCTGCTCCAACTGTTCAAGCTGGTCGTGCTTCTCATCGTTCTACACCCTCAGTACATAAGGAGCATCCAGGCGATGTGGATATTCAACAACGCATGCAGAAAATTGATATTGGTAAGAATATTATGTAGATAAGTCTGCTAAATTTATCATTTAATAAACAATATTTTAAAAGAGAAAGAAAGAAAAAAACGTACCTATATTAATACTTTTAACTAATGAAGTACTACAAATAAAGTACCTACATATTTTCAGACATGAATATGGTTAGATCTAGGTATATTCAAACAATGAAAATTTGACTAATGGTGCCTAAGGTTACTCATTACTTTTACTAGATAGGTCTGCCTGTGTAGATGTACCAGCACAGTTAGACTGGAGTGTCTTTTGGAATGTTATACAAGTCTATTCCAATATATACTCTAGTCTGTCAGTACCTTTGTAACTTGTAAATTAATATGGTGCATTAACAGCGCAACATGTATTATAATGTTGCTTTTTTCAGGATAAACAATTTAGTTTTTAGAATGCCATAGTCTTATAAAGTTCAGGTAATGTAGAAATAAGATGTGATAGGTACAAAATAAAGTATTAAGTTTATCCTTGTTCAGAATAGTTATATGTTAATAGTACCTACATTAGATAAAACTAAAATACATAAATAAATTGCCACATATTTTTATATTCACATAGGAGTCCAGAAGTATACACAATAAAACACTATATAAACATATATAAATTTAATATTATATAAAAATACACTGTTGGGTATTAGCATTGTGACTCTTCTGCCTATTTATTCTGTAGAAGTTTGCATACATTTCTCTTGAATGTAAGGCTGTTTGTGAACATCGTGACATTAACAGGGAGTGAATTTCAGAGAACTGATTGCATATAGAAGGAACATTGATAAAGTTAGAGGTGTGACGGGCATGAAAGATGCATATTGTTTGCTGAACGAGTAATGTGATAAGAGCATAATAAACGAAAATGGGGAATGAGGAACATAAAGAAACTAGGAACATAAAGCAGACACGTGGGCAGACCAAAATTAAAAACTAATTAAATGCAGTTATTGAGAAGTCTGCCATTCAGGTCAAAATAACACAGATCACCATAGTTGATTAAGGCAATAATTATGGACTGCATAAGCGTAGCCTTAGTTTTAGCTTGAAGGAAGCTCTTCAGACAATATCCAGCGCGGAGGAGAAATGTAGTTGCTCTCTGGCTGAAGTCTGTAACATGTGCTCGCCAATCAAGTGTTGAGTTGATACATAACCTCGGGTTCTTTACCACTGGACTTAGGGGTATAATTAGGTACGTTGTTGTATACAACTGGTGGCATGTCCACCATGTCTAGCCTACTTAGCATTTGTATGCTCCCCATTAAGAACATTTGACATTTTGTTTGATTTATCTATAAACAAAACTTCGTAGACCAGCACTGCCGTGCCATTCCAAAAGACTAACTCGTTTGTGTTAACAACGCTCAATCAGTTTCTTTAAGCTGATTTAGAATCCCTGACTTTCTAAAGAGTATTTTAGAAGAAACAGTTTAAAAAATACTGTAATGTATTGAAATTAAGGTTTTAACATGTTCAAAAACTATAACAAAGCTAGTAAAGTAAAGCAAAGTATTTTGACTAAACTATTTCCGCGCGTTACTTAGGTACGGCGAGATACTCGCATACTTGACTGGAGGAAACGATAATAATTCAATAATTAGAGAACTAGGGGGTTATGGCTGGCCTGTAGTTGGACGGATCAGAGCGGTCACCTTTTTTAGGGATTGGGTGCTCAAACGTTACCTTCCAGGAGTTTGGGACGACATGCCTAGGGAGTAGGCGTCGAAAAATGCGGGTTAAAACCGGTGCCAACTCTGGAGTACACATCTTCAACACGATAGGGGAAATTCCATCGGGCCCACTCTACTTATGAATATCAAGGAAAAAGAGTGCTTTACGCATTGCTTTTTGGGTGAACCGGATTTCCGGCGTACCGCTCTGGCACTCCGGTATTGTCGACGCTACGTTTCCTCCGTCATCCAAAGTCAAGTTGGATGCTGAGGGTTCGCCTAGGAGATCAGCTTTTTGCTGGGCATCATAGGGCAACAAATTATCGTCCAGGTGGAATAGATTGGCTACAGAATTTCCCCTGGACAGCCTTGGCAAAAGACTAGAATGCAATGAGTTCCAGAACGTAGTAGTACCGTGATAACTATATTAAAAGGTATCTATATATTTTAAAAAAATGCAACAAATAATTGTAATATCATTAGGGTTCCGTACCTCAAAAGGTAAAAAAGGAACCCACACATCTAACCGACAATACGTTTGTGGAGTGGGATATACTGGAATCGAACCCGCACTAGTCGAGCGAATTAGGCTGGAATCGAACTCGCACTAGCAAAGCGAAGTGGTTCGGAGCGAACTTGCACTCGTGAAGCGAAGTGGTTTGGAATCGAACCCGCACCAGTTCTAGTGAGGTTAAACGTGTTAATCACCCGACTATTTATGAGTTGTTTATCTTATATCACTACAAGCGAAGTGAATAATACTTATTTAAGTACTAAATAATTAAAGAGTTCGGCAACGGAGTAATCAGTTCTTTATTGTAGCAAGGTGATAACAGAAGGCAGAATGAATTTTAATATAATGCGACACGGTATTTATATACATAAACAATTAATAATAATAAAGGTTCGATCCTGGCACTTCGGAATGTGGGCATCGGCGTGGAACAAAAGATAACAATCAAAATACACTTGTTGCGGGTTTTTCAAGTACCGAGATGACGAATAAGTCTTTATTACAGGGCAACCATCACAGCCTGGTGCAAGTGGTGATCCAGGTTCAGTAAGTGGTCGGGGCTCACGTCGTGGCGGCGGCAGAGTGTTGCCTGAACAAATGACCATACTGCGCACCCGTCCAAACACAGCTCAAACGAAAAAGGGTACGTATTAAATAAAAACTGAAAATATTATGAGAAGATGAAAAGAACTGAAGGCTGTTTTCATGATCATTTTAACTAACAAGAATTTTCTTTTACAAGGCATAAAGTGACCCCCTTATTTATATAGTTTCGACTAGCTCTGAATATCTCTAGATATTTTGCATTAAATCCACTTCTCATGTGAGCTGTAAGTGTAATGCTGTAAACAAACTATGTAACATATCATATTTTTCTCCAGTTATGAGTCCATGTCTTTCAAATGTTGCCTGTTTTAGATCCCTGAAACCAAAAAACCAAATGTCATCCAATTAGGGTAAGAATGTGACTTCATATTTTTAATATTTATTCAGGTTCTACTGGGACTGCTGTCGATCTAACAGCTAATTACTTTACCGTGGAGACTACTCCACAATGGAGGCTTTTTCAATATCATGTGGACTTTTCTCCAGAAGAAGACAATACATCAGTGCGCAAGGCACTTATACGTGTACATGCCAATGTACTAGGAGGGTGAGTCTTTTAGTATTAATAACACACTACCATAAATATAGCAACCCAGCAGTACCCTGCCATGCTTCGCTGTGGCACATTGTGGTTGCACTGTTGCAAATAGATAATAACAATCTTTGATGTGGGTTGTATATCATGTCAAACTTTGAGCTCAATCAGTGCAAGAACTTTAAGTTTTTGAAGCATACTCAAATCAACATAACATAACATAAAGATGGTAAAATACCTTCTAACTTTTTCGAGAAATTCACTTTTCACTTGAAGCCTAAGTTTCATTGCTGACATTACACTTCACTGTAATAAAATCCCTTCTACTATTAATAATAAAATCTGTAATTACAGCAAAATAATAAAAGCATCAGTTATTAATTAAAATTCAAATATTTGCTAAATAAAATTTACCTAATAGGTGTGCAATAATTGTTTTTTTTTGTTTTTATCATATTATCTATACTAATATTATAAAGCTGAAGAGTTTGTTTGTTTGTTTGTTTGAACGCGCTAATCTCAGGAACTACTGGTCCGATTTGAAAAATTCTTTCAGTGTTAGATAGCCCATTTGTCGAGGAAGGCTATAGGCTATATATCATCACGCTAAGACCAATAGGAGCGGAGCACCAATGAAGAATGTTTCAAAAACGGAGAAAATTTATTACTATTGAGAGACGCAGACGAAGTTGCGCGGGTCAGCTAGTGTTTTGAATAAATCAAGGGTTTAGTTTTGTAGTACTAATTCAAGTTAGACAATAGTATCCAATAATTTTCTTAATGCACTCTCAATCTTATTTCCTGATGCTTTAAGTTTTAGTATGCTGCACACAGACACTTGACAGTTAATTTTTGTTTAGGAGCAGTTCACGTCAATGTATTATGGTCCAAATAATTTAAAAGGTGCATTTTGACAGTTGACGTTTAGGGTTGCGGTTCTACAAAGCCATAGTGAAAATAATCGTTTCAGATTACAAATGAATTTACGATCATCAATATATACAAAACATCGTTAGTCGTTTTAAAGTTGTAATACTTGTGGCTGTTAATTTAGTTTTTTTAAGAATTATGTTCCATATACTGTTCGTGTGGTGAAGGATTAATAATACGGAGTGTCACCACCCCTATTCATCCCGTGGGTGTCGTAAGAAGAAGCAAACTACGCAGGACAAGAGCACTGTAAAGAGAAGGAAAACTTGATACAGATCCTATACCAACCTGTCTGGCCAGCGTGGTATAATAGGCCAAAACCTCCTTTCCAAAGCCTATGTCCAGCAGTGGACTACTGAAGGCTGTTGATGATGTGACATACGTGTTGCATACTACAAATATAGCTATGACTACAATCAAGAATACTGATCGCGAGTGTATTTCTCAGATTGGGCATAATTTATTATGGCTATTGTGGCTATGGAATGGAATCGGGAATGGAAACTGGTGACTTTAATTTTATTTTACTTTTGTTTTGGTTGCACTTGGATTACTCTGGTGCAAGGACTAGGTACCGTTCATTATAAGTTAGAGGGGATACTCATTGCCGCCGCGGATGTCAAACGTACTACAAACGTCTATTTTTTTAATTTTACGGTTCTGAACATTGTTTTTAATAATGCACTAGAGTTTATATGTGTAAAACGAAATAATGTACGAGCCCCGATGCAAAGTAGTTCGTCTAGTATGGAAAGTAGTGCACATCGTAAAATATAGAAAGTAAATATTGTTAAAATATAATTTTATTTTACTTTTGTTTTGGTTGCACTTGGATTACTCTGGTGCAAGGACTAGGTACCGTTCATTATAAATAGCGATTATAAGTTAGAGGGGATACTCATTGCCGCCGCGGATTTCAAACGTACTACAAACGTCTATTTTTTTAATTTTACGGTTCTGAACATTGTTTTTAATAATGCACTAGAGTTTATATGTGTAAAACGAAATAATGTACGAGCCCCGATGCAAAGTAGTTCGTCTAGTATGGAAAGTAGTGCACATCGTAAAATATAGAAAGTAAATATTGTTAAAATATAATTTTATTTTACTTTTGTTTTGGTTGCACTTGGATTACTCTGGTGCAAGGACTAGGTACCGTTCATTATAAATAGCGATTATAAGTTAGAGGGGATACTCATTGCCGCCGCGGATGTCAAACGTACTACAAACGTCTATTTTTTTAATTTTACCGTTCTGAACATTGTTTTTAATAATGCACTATAGTTTATATGTGTAAAACGAAATAATGTACGAGCCCCGATGCAAAGTAGTTCGTCTAGTATGGAAAGTAGTGCACATCGTAAAATATAGAAAGTAAATATTGTTAAAATAATTAAGAACGTTTAATAAAAAGTAAACCACAAATTAGGAACATTTAAAAGTTTATTTTAACATAACTGAAATCCTTTATGACTTTACATCTCATAAAAAATTTAAAAAATATTCTAAAAAACAACGCAAAAGTATTCGTCTACCCTTGTCACTACGCAAAATAGTTCGTCTATCACTTAGTTGTGTCGCCTTTGCTCTCAATGACAGCTTTAATGCGAAGAGGCATGGTTGCAACCAACGCTGCACACTCTTCAAGCGTAATTGACTGCCAGACAGCCAAGAGTTTAGCCTTTAAGTCACTCTTCGATCTTGATGGATTTTTACGGAGAACTTTTTTCATTTTCCACCATAGAGTTTCGATCGGCGACAAGTCCGGGCAAGTAGCCACGTCTTCGTTGTCCTTGCAGTATGGCAGGAAGCACCATCCTGTTGAAAAATGAAGGAATCTTGATGATTAAGTGACGAAACAGAGGGCAGTAAATTCTCTTCCAAAAGGTTTTGATACCTTGCAGCATTGATAGAACCATCCACAAACTGCATACCACCAACACCTTGTGCAGACATGCAGCCCCATGTCATAAGAGACGCCGGAAACTTCACTTTGCGTTTGAGACAATCAGTATGAAATGCCTCATTTTTGTTCCGAATCACTTTTTTCCTTTCATCGCCGACTGTCAATTCAAATTTGGAGTCGTCACTCCAAATGATACTACGCCACTGATCGGAAGTCTAATTTAAATGATCACGTGCAAACTTCAACCTCTTTTTCTTTTGCACAGCAGTCAACAGTGGTTTCTCCTTAGCGGTGTAAAATCCGTAACCCATTCTTTTTAGGACTCTTTTGCAAGTATCAACTGAGATGTCTTTGTGAATCATGCCCTTCCATTGCACTCTGAGTTCTCCAGCTCGAGCACGACGATTATTTTTGATAATTTTCTTTAGGATTCTGTTTTCTACTGCACTTGTGATGCGTAGTCGACCAGTTTTCTTCAAACAAGAAGTCATTCTATTCTTTTTATAGTGCTGAATGATAGATTGGACTGTAGACCTGGGAAGTATCAAGTCTTTAGATATTTTGTAACTTGATTTGCCAGCATCGACCCCACAAACTATTCGCTTTCGTAGCTCTTCACACACGTTTTTACCACGACCCATTGAAATTATTATTATCTGAAAACTAATGAAAAAGACTGAAATTTTCAGAATTTATACCGTCTCATTTGACAAATGACACAGAATTACTTTTACAAATTTAAATTATGCAACATAATTGTACAAAGAAGGAATAATCTTATTGAACTCACTGATAGACGAACTCTTTTGCTTCAATTAACAATTAGACGAACTATTTTGCTTATAACTTCTTCAAAATTTAAAAAGCTAAAATAGTTTATTGGTTCATAATTAAAAAATGACATAAGTAACGCGACATATGATAGTAGAACAGCTTAATATTTCATGTAGATATAAAAAAATAATGAAGTTATAAGAAATCTCACAGAGAAAATTTCACACTAGACGAACTATTTTGCATCAGGGCTCGTATATCTTCAAGATATACATTGGGGAAATATTTCTTGTTTTATAATTTCTTTGGGTTAATAACAATTTATAAAAACTGTTTATGACATTTTCATCATAAAAAAATATACGAGTTATTTAAGACTACACTACCGGTACGCTATAATGGCCGTTTTGACGTTTGTCCACTCATGAAGTTTCGTATTAATTAGTAATTACATTTGAAGGAGCAAATTGCTGTTCTTTATTGTCAATAGTGACGTGCAGTTAGTCATAAAATTTATCTAATGTATTATTTTAGGACACAAAATAGTATATATTTTGGACTGTATATATATATATATATATATATATATATATATATATATATATATATATATATATATATATTATATTATTGTGTGTATGTCTATTAAATATGTATATTTATAAATTTTGTTTATGTATGTGTGTATGTGTATTTATCTATGTGTAATGTGAACAGATGTTTATTTGTGTATGAATGCTTTTGTTTATATTTTAAATATTCACGTGATAATGCGTTACGTGTATGTAAACTACCCAACTTTTAAATAACTAATATCCGTATCAAGGTTGTCTGGAAGAGATCGCCGTGAGCGATAAGACCGCCGATTGTTACGTCTATATATTTGTAATGTCTTATGTGTTAACTGTAAACAATAAAGATATAAATAAATAAAATTTATTTATTACATTGATTTCTAAACTATATATACAAGGGCCCCGCGAACATGTATTTTTTATTAAGATTTAAGATTAGATTTAGATTATTTAAGATTATAATTATTGGTGTACTTATTTACCACACAACTCGGCATTTGTTTTTCGAAATTCAAAATTAAAAAAAAATGAAATTTTAAACGATCGTCACATAGGATCGCTGACCACACAACTACTACCTCCGGCAAACTCGCGTCAATGCTCTATGCAAAACAAAGCAGTTTCGACTTGACGTTGCTTCGAAAAGCACAAACTGTGAGTGCACTGCGATTGTGATATAGTTTTGAGTTGACTTTGCTTTGCATTTCGGATATTGATTGATACTGCAGTACTGTTGACCCTTGCTCGTTAATTTGGACTCTGTTTATGCCTTTTGTTGTGGATTACTGTTCTAAACAGTCAGACACTGAGTTCATTATACGCCTTCGTAACTATTTCGATCGTGAATCTCAAAATGGAGGGCCAATCTTACCTATAACGTCAGTGGTTGAACGCGTAACTGATGCGCTTAATATTGGACAACGAACTGTTACACGAATAACTAAAGAAAAATATGGCGAGACTGGCACAGAAGAAAATAAACTTCACACACCAAGAAAGAGAAAACGAGCAAAACCAGTCGTAGGCATCGATAGCTTTGATAGCAGTGATGACAGTGAAAATAGCAGTAGTGACGAATCTGATTAAATATAGCCTTTTGTGGCACATTTTTTGGTCTCTTTTTGTATTAATTTGTTTCTTGTGTGCATATAAAGTATGTATTGTGTGTATTCATTTTCATTCCAATATTCAGATCGTTCAAATATATTAAGTAAGCATTTATATTTTGTTTTATGAAACCTTTTTAATCAGGTACTACTTGCAATAAAAACTCATAGATTCCATTATATTCTTTTCGAGAATAAATTGACATTTCACATCACTATTGTAATATGTCAAAAGGGCCATCATAGTGTGCCGCAACTCATCATCATCAACTGCCTATTACAGTCCACTGCTGGACATAGGCCTCTCCTTAGAAAGGAGGTTTTGGCCTACTATACCACGCTGGCCAGACGGGTTGGTATAGGGTTTGTTTCAAGTTTTCCTTCTCTTTGCAGTGCTGTTGTCCTGCGTAGTTTGCTCCCTTAGTCGGCTCTTACGACACCCACGGGATGAATAGGGGTGGTGACATTCCGTATTCGTATTCCGTCACCACACGGACAACAACCGGTGCCGCAACTATAGAGGCTCAAAATTTATAAGTGTAATTACTTATAAAATATTTTGAAATATAAAATACGATTTATTTTATTTACTGTACACACTTAGGTGTTTTAGTTTAAAATTATTAACATTGATTATTTTATTTAATAATTCTTAAAATAAATTTGAATTAAAGTATAAAATGAAAAGAACGAATTAATAAATAACTATTTAATAATAACGAAGACGATCTCAGGTTAGCAAGTCAATTTGTAAAAAATTGATTAATTTTTACCTCCGTAACGATTAAAATGTAACCACACTAAAACCAAAAAACAAATATCATAGAATGTCACTGTTATAAGACATCTCATAAAAAATTATGCGATTGTTTAAATTATTTGTAGAAATTTAAACGGAAAATGTATCCCAATACATTAATTCAACTCAGTACTATAAAAAATTCCTTATTTAAAAATTGACTGACTTAAATCAGAATTGTTTCGTGTTTCGTTTAAACCGGGCAAAGTTGCAGTTTCATCTGTCAAAATGCACTTAGGTTGTTCAGACTACAGATGGGGGGGGCCGTATTTATCATTCAGAGGCCTTAGTGCAAGTTTATTCACTCGCTCTCGACGGTTTACATTTAACAATTATTAATTTATTTCTTAAAGCATTATGTTAATTTTGCAGCTGTCATGTCTGTAATATTTTTAAACTATTTTGTTCATAATTCAGTTTGATGAAGAACATTAAAATCGTGTGGTATACTTATGACTGAATGCCTTTAATTACTACAGATATCTTTTCGACGGCATGGTGCTCTACACAACCAAAAGATTACATCCTAATCCTATGGAGTTGTATTCGGATCGCACATCTGATGGGGCTCGTATGCAGATAATGATAAAGGTAAAATGTAATCTCAAATTAATCAGCAACACAGATGTCAATAAATGTCTATAAATTTAAAAATGAACAAGACGAAAGATAAAATTCGATGTAATATGACTGCTGTTATAATAATATACCTCACTTTAAAATAACTTTTTTATAACGGGTGTTATGATACATATCACAAAAAATGAAATAACAGATAACACAGTTCAATATACGTCGGTTAAAATATAAAAATTGTACGAAAATACAGAAATGCAAATTTAGAACAAACAAGATACAATAAAATAATTGCTGAATTAGAACACCATTGATAACATGAGTCGGTGAACTGTACACGGCAGCGTCACAATGTCGGCGACATCAAAGCGACGGCGCCGCCGCCACCGCGACGAGCCGGCGAACTTTACATTCTTATTGCCTACCTACTAATCACTTCACTTCGCTTTTTTAAATCTATTTATTAAGAATACGTTTATTCACGTGTTTATTTTGAGAATGCTCGACTAGCTTCCTCCTTGAAAAAGTAGGTACTTTGGTTGGTTGTCTCGTAATCTGTGTACCGCCTTTTACAAAAATTCGGCAGTCTGTAGGACATACACGCCTGTTTCTAAACCACAGAATATTTTTTTGTTCAAATTTTGCAAAGCGTCTAGAGATAAAGTGCAGAATATGTTGATTACAGATTCGTGAAAACATAAGTGACACGCTGTATATTATACTTGTAACATTCAGGCAGCCAGTATTCCGTGAATGTGTACTGTGTTAGTTAAGCTCTAAACTCATAAATATATTTTACTTTGTTTCCTTGCAGCTTACATGTGACGTTAGTCCTGGCGACTATCACTACATTCAAGTTTTTAATATTATAATAAGGAAATGTTTTAACATACTGCGCTTGCAACTAATGGGACGCGATTATTTCGATCCAATTGCAAAAGTAAGTAAAAATGTAAATAAATAAGTAAACATATAATATAGTATAGTAGTAGTAAGTTAATAAAATGAATAATTTTAGATTGATGTGCCAGAATTTAAACTCCAAATATGGCCAGGATATAAGACTACAATCAATCAGTATGAAGATCGTCTGTTGATGGTCACTGAGATCACTCACAAGGTAAATAAAAATTTATTTTAAAATAGTGTAATTAGTTAGACTAACGGATTATTAAAAACAAAAATCGTTTCAGGTCTTGCGTCTAGACACTGTTTTACAGATGCTGAACGAATATTTAGCAACAAAAGGCAGCAACTACAAGAAGATTTTCTTGGAGGATTTAGTTGGTAAGTGTTACTACAGTACTGAAAGAAAATAATGATTATGAAACAAGTCCAAAGAATTAAAGAGACGTTTTATTACCTTTATAGGAAAAATAGTAATGACTGACTACAACAAAAGGACTTACCGGGTAGATGATGTAACTTGGGATGCATCACCACTATCCACATTTAAGATGAGGGATGAAACTATTACCTATGTTGAATATTACAGTAAGGTACAGTAATATATTCATTTTTGTTGTATTTTGTCAATTTTTATTTACAGTAATAATGTGAAAGCTTGTTTATATTGCAGAAATATAACATTCGTATTCAAGATGCAGGCCAACCTTTACTAATATCGCGATCGAAGCCTCGTGATATTCGCGCTGGAATGCCTGAGTTGGTGTATCTGGTGCCGGAACTGTGTCGCCAAACTGGTTTGTCAGACGAGATGCGAGCCAACTTTAAACTGATGCGCGCCCTTGATACACACACTAAGATAGGCCCCGACAAGCGCATTCAGAAATTGATGAGCTTCAACCAACGCTTCACTCAAAATAATGAAGTTGTCAAGGTAAATATTAGTAGTATTTTTTTTTGTTTTAAAACAAGTATTTATATCACTAGGTGTTTGAATGGGACTAGTCCCTTCCACACGCCCACCACTGTAACTCCTGTACGCCAGGATCAACAACAGTGACCCACTATAGTTAAACCGCCGTAAGCTTGGCCCTCCTGATGGTTTGCGGGACGCGGGGCGGGTGATGCGCTCGGCTATACATGACACGATGTACCAACTCGATATCTTCAGATTTATTTGTTTGAGATTTAATCTACACACGATGTAATAAAAATCGAATTTATTTCCATGTATTATAATGTCAGTGTATTGTTAGTTTTAATGATTAATTATAAAATTTAATACTGTAAAATAATTTTAATAAAATCACCTTATCTTCATCATGTAAATTATATTCAGATACAATTTAAAAATTAAGTAAAATGATAAATATCCTTTATTAGAACTTTAACAGTAGAACCTCTGTACGCCGAACTTCAAGTTTTTAAATCTTTTTGTGACGCAGAGTCGGCAGATTATCCATGTTGCAAAATAATACCGTGTCTCTGTAGCAGTCTTAAGAAAAATAACACGTACAGCCATGCTTTCACGTCAGTCACTGCCGGCGGACAGCGACGCACTAGCTAATTGGTTGAATGCACCCCCGCCCCGCGTCCCCCAAACCATCAGGAGGGCCAAGCTTATGGCGGTTTAACTATAACACATCGAGATATAACACTCGGGAAGTCAGGAAAAAGAATTAAACTGTCTGGGAACCCGCAACGAAATTAAATTAATCAGAAGAAAATTTGAGTAGTTGGAAATACAGTAAATCCACTTCCCTCCTTAGCAAAGCGGGAGACAAAATGAAGTAAAATAGGCATACACTCTTTTAAATAGGGAAGCACCACCAAATATTATGGGTGCTAAGCGAGCTATATTTGATTGATACAAAATGTATGGCAGAATCGCCTAAACGTACGGAAATTCACCCTAGTTGACACAAGATCCCCATAATATACCGCCCCAGATGTCACCTGCAGGCTATTCAGCATTATATATTACGTTCATTATACCAAAGACTACATTCCCAGAGGATATGATGAGCAAATTGTTCACAGTTAGAGTTAGGTGTTGAGCATTGACTGGCGACTTGACTAATTTAAATGAATACAGTTTGCTCTTAAAGTTACCATGACCTGTAAGAAATAGAGCGACGCAGTGATTCACCTCAAGCCATGGTCTCGACAACCGTTCGCGAACAGATGGAAAAAACTGGTAAAGGTGGCGCCCCTTAAATGATTCGTCCCAGCGTTGTTGCCATTCGTCTTTGAGGTCATTATAGATGCTGCTGACTGCTGTTAAAGTAATTTTATCGCGATCTCGTGCGCCCAAAAAATTGCATTCCATGTTTTGTTATCTTGAATAGTACATGGCTGCACGTCTTTGCACCTCGAGATCGAAAGGAAGCACACGCGCCAACGCCACCAAAGCCTCAGTGCTAACCGTCCTATATGCCTTACACAAGAATGTAATGAACCTGGACTAGGTGTACTAGTCTGTTTTTATTATAAGTGTTCTCAATAATATAAATTTATACCTCCCAATGTTTCAGGAAATGGGGACGTGGTCCTTAAAACTCTCTAGGGACTTAGTGAGGTTCAAGGGACGTCAATTGCCAACCGAATCAATTTTTCAAGGACAGAACGCAAAGTATCTGGCTGGTGATACTACTGAAGGATGGACAAGAGAAATGCGGTGAGTAGAAAAATCTAAAAGTAACAATATAGATCAAATGTTTTCTGCTAAATTTTTTTTGTCTACAAATATCTTTTTTTAACTTATCTATATATTATTATAATAGAGTACCTGAGTTTGTGTTTGACAGCTATCTTTATCAGACTACCCAGTAATTTGAGGAAAAAATGGAAAAAAGTGAATTTCGTGTGCTTATTAAGCATTATTTTTTGCGAAAAAAAAACCATTACCGAGACCAAGGCTAAGCTTGATAAATACTATGGGGACTCTGCACCATCGATTTCAATGGTAAAAAAGTGGTTTACTGAATTTCGTTGTGGCCGTACAAGCACTGAAGATGCCGAACGTCCTGGGCCTCAATTCTGCTATTTTATGTTCACGCCACTGTCATACCACTGACACGCTATTGAGATACCATCGAGTGGCCATTGGCATCGGTACAAATATCGGTAGTCTAGACTAACTCAGTGTCTTTACAGTGGCAATGGAATGGCAGTGGCTTATCAGTGGTGATATCAAAAAGATTACCATATTTGGAAAAATAAATAAATCATTTCCTTATAATTTGAAAATGTATTACGTTTTTTTAATTTTGGTCCATAAAGTTGATATGGATTTATCATATTTATTGATACAAATGTATGAACTACAACGACATAATACACCGTAATTAATAGAATTATCGTTGCTGTTTTTGTTGTTGTTAAGTTAGTGTTGACTACCGATATTTATACCGATGCCAATGGCCACTCGATGGCATCTCAATAGCGTGTCAGTGGTATGACAGTGGCTTGGCGTGAACATAAAATAGCGGAATTGAGGCCCTGGACGCCCAGTTGAGGTCTCTTCACCCGAAACAATCGAAAAAATTAACGATATGGTGTTGGCCGACCGAAGATTGAAAGTGCAAGAGATTGTGGAAGCCGTAGGGATCTCGCATGGCTCAGTGGTTTCAATTTTGAATGATCACTTGGGCATGAGAAAGCTTTCCGCAAGATGGGTGCCGCGATTGCTCACAGTCGACCACAAACGCAATCGTGTAACAACTTCACAGGAAGGTTTGGCGTTGTTTAATCGTAATATGGAGGAGTTTTTGCGCCGTTTTGTAACCGTGGACGAAACATGGATCCATCACAACACACCAGAGACCAAACAACAGTCAAAACAGTGGGTTTCTAAGGGTGAATCGGCGCCAAAGAAGGCCAAGGTGGGTTTGTCAGCCAATAAAGTTATGGCGACTGTCTTTTGGGATGCACGCGGGATAATCCATATTGACTACCTTCAAAAGGGAAGAACAATCAATGGGGAATATTATGCCAACTTATTGGACCGATTCAATGACGATTTGAAAAAAAAACCGACCTCATTTGGCCAAGAAAAAAGTTCTTTTCCACCAAGACAATGCAAGGGTGCACACATGTGCAGTTGCCATGGCAAAAATCCATGAATTGGGCTATGAATTGGGCTATGAATTGCTCCCTCATCCGCCCTATTCTCCAGATTTGGCTCCGAGTGACTACTTCTTGTTCCCAAACCTGAAGAAATGGCTTGGTGGAAAAAGATTTGACTCCAATGATGAAGTCATCTCGCAAACAAAGGCCTATTTTGAGGACATCGACAAATCATATTTTTTGGAAGGGATAAAAAAATTGGAGAAGCGTTGGACAAAGTGTATAGAGCTCAAGGGAGACTACGTTGAAAAATAAAATGATTTATTTATCAAAAAATCTGTGTTTTATTCCAAAAGTCACGGACTTATTGACCCGCCCTCGTACCTACAAATTTGCAATGGAAACCTTGGTGGGGGGCGAGTCCGACTTGCACTTGTCTAGATTTTTTCCACCACCACAAAACCACAAAAATTCTTAGAGATCAATTTTACACATTTACTTTCAAAACAAGTCAGTTAGCAATTATTTTTGTGTAAATACTTTTATACCTTATAAGTAGTTTTTTTAATGTTGTTTTAGGTCAAAGCAACTTTTAGCGTTGGCTCATCTACCATCGTGGGTGGTCATTACACCAGAACGACAGAGACGCGATGCGGAAAGCTTCATGGAGTTGATCATGAAAACTGGCCATGGTGTAGGATTCCGTATGCCTAAACCAGAAATAGGTTAGTAATTATTTTATTTCAAAACTGAAATAAAAAACTTCTGCTTTTTTTTACATATAGGTAAAATAGATCAATGAAATAAAACCTCATACGGCTTTTTATTGTTTCAGTGACAATTCGTAACGACGGACCAATGGAGTATGCCAGTATGTGCGAGCAGGTCATAGCAAGGAAAAATCCAGCTATGATTTTATGTGTTTTAGCAAGAAATTTTTCTGACCGGTTAAAACTTTATATTTTTCTTATTTGTGTCCTGTTTGACATCTAAGCAAATAACTAAAGTATCGGTGAGCAACCACCGTTTTTTACGAGTAATTCTGCCACATTGCCTGTCTTCAGGAAGCTGAGAACAGCAATTATAAAAATAACAATATTAGAATAAAAATTATGACAGACATATCTTTATAATTTTTATATATATTTTATAGATATGAGGCTATAAAGAAAAAGTGCACAGTAGATCGCGCTGTCCCGACGCAGGTCGTGTGTTCCAGAAGTATGACTAACAAATCTGCTATGTCGATAGCAACAAAAATTGCCATCCAGATTAACTGTAAAGTGAGTACCAACATAGCTGTTTTATTACAATAACAGTACTAGAGATGATCTATGTCTAATTTTTTCTACAAAACTTTTCTACAAAACTTTTTGCACAACAGCAAACCACAGCGTAATACACAAGTCTGTGGATGTTAGTATTGTTTACATGTTTACCTATTTTATTGAAACTTTAGTAGTGCTTTGTGTCCTAATAAAAAAAAACTAATACTTTATGAAACAATGAATTTCGTAATGAAACTTTTTTAAGATTATAATCAATTTTCACAGCTTGGTGGTAGCCCTTGGAGAGTAGATATCCCATTAGGAAACTTGATGATCATCGGCTATGACGTATGTCATGACACGCGCTCCAAAGAAAAAAGCTTTGGAGCATTCGTTGCCACGATGGACCGACACATGACAGACTACTACTCTATCGTGAATGCGCACACTTCTGGAGAAGAACTCAGCAGTCATATGAGCTTTAATATAGGTTCTGCACTAAGAAAATTTAGAGAAAAAAATGGTAATGTAATTCTTTCAGTAATTTTATAAATTTTCAAACACTTATTGTAGTGTAGAGATGCCACGAATATTAGGCAATGCTTTGTACCTTTCGCAGCTGACCTGTTTTTAAACAGGTAATAAAAATATATCACTAAAGTATGTGCTATGACGACGTCGTGGGTGCCGTGTGATTGGATCATGACACATCACGCTTTATTTGTTTACTTACTTTTGCTCGCGACTTCGTCCTCGTGAAATAGTTACTTTGGGCATTATTTTTGAATCCTTGGGATAATTTGTAAATAATACACAGAAACTGTTGTTTCGTGGTATTATCTACAAACTTTTCATCCCCTTCAAACTCTTTGTCGCCATAACAGGTAGCCTTTCCCAACCTCTGGTTTATATCTGAACCAAATTTCATCAAAATCGGTGTTTAGGCGTGAAAGCGTAACAGACAGACTGAGTTACCCATCTACTATATTAGTAGGGATTCTCGATATTGTTACAGTTATATTTTTATGTGATACTAGATGGTATATAATTGTTGTAAATGAAAAGACTTCTTGATTCGACTAGTATTATATTGTTATCAGTATATTACAGACGTACAGTACTTATCAGTGTTACAGACAGCAGAACAATGATCGACAGAGTAGCGTGGCCAATGGTGCAATGCATCTAACTGACTAAATTGATTAATCTACAAAATCCTAAACTATTATAGTGATGTTACAATAGTTACATTGAACTGATTTGTGGCATGATTTGCATATTTAGTGTTAGGCCGAATAGTTAGCAATATTCAGTCAAATATCGAAAGTGAGAAAAATTTGGCAGGTATAGTTTACGTTTAGTTTAGTTTTAGTTTTTAGACGAATAGTTGCCGAATGTTTGTGGTATATTTAGTATATTGTGTACCACATAATTTCTTTTGTCTATAACTTGTAATGTTAATAAGTATAAGCCACTAGGCATATGAATAACAATTTCTCTAATATAATAATATGAATGAATAATCATTCCCGGGTCCGACCGAATATTTGTATAATCTGCAAATAGTTTTTTCGGAGTTCAAGTTTTTTCTGTGTATAATATGTATGTATTTACGAAAAAAATAATGTTTTATGCAGGTAATCTTCCTTCTCGTATATTCATTTACCGTGATGGCGTCGGTGACGGCCAAATCCCGTATGTTCACAGTCACGAGGTAAGAAACCAAAAATATTATAAAATAATACAGATATCAGATAAGACAGTGCATGACTTTTTGGTTCAATTTTTTAGGTCGCTGAAATTAAGAAAAAACTGACGGAGGTGTACGCCGGAGCGGAGTATAAGCTGGCGTTCATTATTGTATCTAAGCGAATCAATACTCGTATATTCCTCGACCGCGGGCGCACCGGCGAAAACCCGCGCCCCGGCACTGTCATCGACGATGTCGTTACACTACCCGAACGGTCTGTTTTAAAAGTTACTTTGTCATCATAAAGTTACAGCGTTTTTTTTATATTTAATACAATCATTTGGTGCTGGGTTGGGAAGTTTACCGGGAGTTTTGAAAATTTGTATTTTATTGATTATGATGTGCTATTTCCAAAAAATGTCGCCTAATAACAATTTTTCGACATTGTGTTTCTCACTTATTCAGGTACCACTTAATCAAGTTACACTGTATTATTGTAACTATTATGTTACTACAGAGTTCTGCCAACAGATAACTCGTACAAGAGTTTGAAACGCTTCATGTGTTTAAAATAATAACCGTAAAGTAATATTAAATTCATAATTTTACCCTTAAATCAAATTAAAGTATATTTTAAGTTTAAATAAAAAAATGCCCTAAAATGCGGCGTTATGGTCACTACGTATGACGTCATCGTTCGACAGTACTTTATATTTTGTATGATAAAATATATTGTAAGGGTTAAAGGTAATTTTTATTCAGAAAAACTGAATGAAGAAAGACCTTCAACGCTTATCTACACCAAATTACTATTTCTCTTTTCGCGCCAACTAAAGAAGTTAAACAAGTCAGCTGATTGGTTAATAACATATCAAAATTGTACGATTACGACACATTCTGATTGGTGTTTCCTATCACATGACTCACGGACAAAATTCTATTCTCAAGCCAAAATAAATTCATGGTTATCTTTCGGATCATACGCTAAAGGTCAAACACATACTAAGTCTTAACACGCCCAGTTTAGAGGAAGGCAATAAATTCAGAGACACCATTATAAGTCAAAACTTGATATATTGAATTATTTTACTTAACTAAAAGGTATTAATTATCACAAACGTACTATTTTAAATTTTCCTGATAATTAATAATCTATGAAAATAAATCACATCTAACAATTTAAATTATAATAAATTTTATACTGGAGAGCTCGCTACAGTCATTGTTTAAGGCGAGCCAACAAAAATTACAAGGACGAAGTGGGAAGCGTACTCAGACCTATTTCGGTGCAGTTGAACGCCTCAACCATTCGACCGTCGATGTGTTATATAATTTTAGGCTTTTTATCAACAGATCTATTGAACGAAATAGTTATTTTCAAATTTAAACGTACTGTCAACTCGCGAAATACATAATTCGTAGGAAATGTTCTCAAGTTTAATTTTGTAAACAAATATTTTTTGAGTAAGAAAAGAGATTTTGTCGAAAAATGCTATTAGGTGCCATTTTCCTAATCTTTCAGCGCCAGCGGCAAAGACACGAGGTAGCAAAGTTGAAACTCGGAAAGAGCACATCTGCTGAAAATACAGATTATGCTGATGCCAGCTATCTAGATCTTACTGAAGACAAATTGAATAAGCTTGAGAGACTCCAAAATCTCTGCAGAAGATTCATATTTGGACTTCGCAATTATGATCATGTTTCTGAACGTCGCAAAAAGCTCAAGTGGTTTCCCATTCACCTTCGCCGGAATGCACATATTCTTTTTCTTCTCTATAGTATACTATTTAACCCTTTTACTCCGCGTTACCTCGAATCACGGTCTACGTTCTTGAATGACACACACCCCAAACTGTTGATATCGTCAGAAAACCTAAAACTTAAAATGACTGTACATTCCACTAAATTCCTCGACGTCTCCTTCTCTGTCCAAGAGGTTCGGTTGTGGAACGCCCTAACGGTCGCAATAGGACGTGCACAAACACTTGCCTCCTGTAAGAAACAAGTGAAAAAATACTACCTGGGAGACGTCGATGTCAATTAACTTCTACTAAGTCGACAAGGTCACATTATTTCTTCATCATCAACAGCGTATACTAGTCCACTGCTGGACATGGGCCTCTCCTTAGAAAGGAGGTTTTGGCCTACAATACCACGCTGGCCAGACGGGTTGGTATAGGGTTTGTTTCAAGTTTTCCTTCTCTTTTCAGTGCTGTTGTCCTGCTTAGTTTGCTCCCTTAGTCGGCTCTTACGACACCCACGGGATGAATTGGGGTGGTGACAATTTGTATTCTTAATCCGTCACCACATTTCTTATAATATATGTATTTAGAACTTATAAATCCCACGTAGTTATTTAATTATATGTATCTAATAACACCACCAGCCGTGTTCAGCACATAGTATATTCCCTCTAGTATGTTATATATTCACCTAAGTCCAACAAATAGATACTATGTGTAATTATCACTTTATAGTAGTATATACTACTTTGATTTCATCTTCTTTTCTATGTCCTAATACACCAGCCAATATCTCCTCCTCTTCATGATTTCTCTCCTTACCACGGTTGCCTGTAAGAGATTGCCCCTGAGCGACAAGGCCGCCACTTGTACTACTCGACCAAGCGAACTAGGCGACTGTCAAACGTGACGTCATTGACTTCGGGTACGGATAGCAGAAGAATCCGAATGATCGATAGGTGTTATTTTTTCCTATATAAAATTATCCAAAGTATTAAACGCGCGTATTAAGATTAAGCTTTGTTTATTATTAGTTCAACTAATGTTCCAAGCGCTAATCTTTATAAGCATTTGGTATAAAGAATTAGTAGAAGTATATAAGTATGTTTTCCGTTGTCTAGTAACCAAGGTCAGCTTGTTTGGGATTAGATTAGTGTCAATCATCATAATCAGAGCGTAGTATTGTATACAAAAATGTGAATGAAATACGTCATTGGACAGGGTGAGGATTGCTGAAATTCCGGACTTAATATTTTTCCTCGCTGTCCACTGTTAGTTTTATTTCTCCCCATTTTTCACACAACAAAATACTAACAGTTTTAATAAGTAACAAAAATTTAATGAATTAAAACAAACTTAACAACATACGAATGAAAGCTAAGAGAAAAAAAATCAAACACGTGCTAGCGGTAGCAACCTTAAGACGATCGCGGTACCTGCAGCGAGGTGCGGGCGGGGAGGCCGCATTCCACGCGTTGGTCTAAAACGCTTGGTCGACCAAGTAGTAGTACTAACATAGTTTAAGATTTTTTTAAGAGAAAAAAAAAATTGTGGTATATTTATATCTGGTGTACAATAAAGCCATATATTATTATTATCATAATGTGTAAAAATACCAGTTTTCTAAAACACTGTAAACGTTCCCAACCCCTTTTTCGATGCAAAATACTGATCTGAGATATGAGAATCTGCAAGCGCTTAAACATTTTTGTTAGGCTTATTAAATCACTTCTATCCTATGAATAATGAAATTAGTAAACTTATATTTCTATCTGAGCAGATAAAGCTACTTGAATATCAATATTATTAGACGACGCTTTTAGTAAAGCACCAATTAATCAACTCTTTCTTACAGGTATGATTTCTACTTGATTTCTCAAAATGTGCGCGAAGGCACTATTGCACCCACGGCATACAATATAATAGAAGACACTACTAATCTTGCACCAGACAGGGTAAGTAACGATTGTTGATAATAATTGTAGGTTAGAAAAAAACTGTTTCTTTCCATTCCGATATATACTATTCTGTCAAGAAAGTACCGGGAAAAGATCAATAATACACAAAATTTTTGTTATTCATCCAAATTTATTTTATCACCTTTAAAGTATGCTCCTTCAGAAACGATACACTTACGCCAACGAATAATCCAATCATCAAAACATTTTTTAAACGCTGTTTCCGGAACTGAGTTCTGTTCTCGCCGCGAATTCTCCTTTGTCTTCTACCGATTGAAAACGGGTGCCACGAAGGGGTAATTTGAGTTTAGGAAAAAGAAAGAAGTCGGCTGGAGTAATATCTGGTGAATATGTGGTTGCTCGATGGTATTTGTTGAGTGTTTAGTCAAATATTCGTTCACAATGATGGCCTTGTGCGAAGGCGCATTATCGTGGTGCAAAATCCAAGAATTTTCACAAATCTGGCCTTTTTCGTCGAATCGAAGTCGAAGAAAACAGTCAACGTGACTTTGACTTTTGATCGACTTCGGCGTCGTTTTTTCGGTTTCGGTTCAGTTGGAAGGCCGAAGCTTGTTGACTAGTTTGCATGTCAAACTCGTAAACCCGCCAGTAACAATGCGTTTCATGAATGTTGGGTCGGAATTGACTCGTTCTAGCATGTCCTCAGCGACTCTCATGTGTTTTTGGAGAAAATTCAGGTCTTTTGGGACTAGCCGAGCGGTAACATGTTTCATACCTAAATGATTAGTTAAAATGGTACGGATCGACTCGTGAGATACAGAAAGTTCGGCGGCTATCTCTCTCAGAGTTGAATGAGGATTTTCAGTTACTATTTCCTTCACTTTTGCGATGTTAACTTCAGTTGCCGACGTTGATGGCCTACCAGAGCGAGGCAAATCTTCCATCACATCTCGACCGCTTTTGAACGCTTTGTACCACTCATAAGCACGTGTTTTTCATAAAGTCACTGTAAGCCTTCTGTAACATTTCAGTAACTCCGAACATGAAATTCCATTGGGGATGCCAAATTTAAGACAAACCCTGTTCGATGTTTTTGTCCGCTATGAAATTCGCAATACACACCAGATATGATATAAGCAAAAACAGCACTGTATTTAATATAAATAACAGATGCAACCCAAACTCCTCGCCAAAATGGAAAACAGTTGTGCCAATCTAACAACAACAAAAAAAATAATTGAATTTGGGACCATAAACAAATGATCCATTCCCGATACTTTTTTGACTGAATGTACAAACCAACCATTTACTTCATAGAATGATTTAAATTACTGATGTGAAACATTTGGTACAGAGTGTCAGACCTCCTCCGTTCACAGTATTTTCAACTTGTAATTGTGCCATATTTATTGTTTCCTTTCATAAGGTATCCTTATGCACTCATTATTATTACAAAAAAAATATGAAAATCTTAATTTTTCTAAAAGATGAGATCTAGATTTCTAGAAGATGCATTCAGAAATAAAACATTTCATTCGGCATAATATAAGCAGAGTAGAGATTAATAGATTAAGCAGTGCATAAAAGTTGTATGTACTGGATTTTTATAGTGTCACATAAATTAAATAATAACACTTAAATATATTTTATGTATGTTTTTTACAGATACAGTGGTTAACATATAAATTGACACATTTATATTTCAACTGTTCGGCGCAAGTCCGTGTACCGTCTGTTTGCCAGTACGCACATAAGCTTGCATTTTTGGCAGCCAACAGTCTTCATAACTCACCACATCAGTCATTATCAGACACTTTGTATTTTCTGTAGTTTTTATAAGAAATAAGAATTTATTAAAATATATATCAGTTGTATGGATTAAACTGTCTTTTACGACTCAAGTTTATCCGACATGGCTGAAAGGTGAAATAAAATTTAAGGATGTAAATTCTGAGATCTGAGTTCAAATACTCATTTGATTTATTACTGATTTTATTAACGAGCACACTAAGTATTATTTCACCTTTATCTGATTATTCTTCAACACCTGTGTTGATCTTGATCTGTATTTGATTTTATATTACCTCAGTTGTCTTAGCAGCTTTTTTTTAGGTCTGATTATTCTTCAACACCTCTGTTGATCATGATCTGTATTTGTTTTCATATTACCTCAGTCATCTTATCAGCTTTTTTTTAGGTCGAATCAGTTTTGTACTCCACCTAGTAGTTGGTCTAGTCTAATACCACCGAACTAACGTATTTTTTTGTTTGTGTAAAAGTGATACAATTTTGCTGTTTGAAAGGGAGAAACAATGCTAGCTAAGGTGTTAACCCTAAATCCTTAGATTTAAGTGAATGAAAGTGTTATTTTATATGCCCAAAGACTCAATTAATTTTTCATTCCAATTATAACTGTAAGGTACGCGTGTATGGCTATTTCTAATTGTCTAGGTATAATGTTATTAGTAGTGAAAGTTTATTTTTAATGTTATAAATCACTTAAAGAAAACAGAAATTTGGGCATATCGTTGATTTGTAACGTTAGTTTATGTAAGTCTTTTGTGTATAAAAAACTTTTAATACATTTTCTATTTTTTGGAAATTGTTTTTTTTTGTCTTTCTATTGCATAATGAACGGTGGTTGCGGATACAATTTTAGGTAGGTTCTTGACTGTCACAAATTTAGGGGTCCTTCGGGGGGAAACCGTAGGGGGTACCACTACCCTTCATACAGACCTCAAAAACTGTCTTCTTTAGGGGCCCTTCAAGGACAATTACATAGTGCTTCTAGAACCTACCCAGAATTGTTCACCAGCTCTCTTACTATACCTATTTGTTGTTAAAAATCGAGAAAAGCATTTGGTTATATTTTAGCAGCCTTACAAATCCAGTCCAGACTAAAGATATCTGTTCACCCCAAGTATGTCTAATTCCATAATTTATCTTGATTATCTTGAGCAAAAATACCAATGCAAGTCGAGGTTTCCAATTCTAAGTACGTGTCATCCATAAATATCTAATCAATAATAGCGTACCATCATGCTACCTACCTACATCAACATGTTTACGTTCTAAATCAAGAGAAAAAAAAATTGGAAAAAGACACTTTCTTGCTTTAGTGTTAATCAAGTTGCTGACGTACACAAAAGGTGTGCGTTTCGATTAGTGTACAGCCGAAGAAAATACAAATACCAAATAAGTTGTAACATTTACCTAGTCCAGATAACTAATTATCTAGCTAAAATTTATTTCAATATTACAATTAAAAAAGAAAATGTCTGGCTGCGGTAACGTTTCAAACGTTACCCCAGCAGGAAATGTTTTTTTGAAATAACTAAAAAAGTTTAAGTGAAACAAATTTAAAAATGTGCCTAACAATTACAGAAGGGGAGCAACTAATTATCTATAAAGTTTAAATGACCATTTTCGACATTATTTTGCTGGGGTAACGCACACTTCCGATTACTCCGATCCGATCCAATCAGAAAAAATTGTCGAAATTTGTTAAAATTGAAGGGACCAAACCAAAAATTTGAAAAAAAATTATAGGTCAATATTTTGTGTGCGTTACCCCAGCAAAATAATGTCGAAAATGGTCATTTAAACGTTATAGATAATTAGTTGCTCCCCTTCTGTAATTGTTAAGCACATTTTTAAATTTGTTTCACTTAAACTTTTTTAGTTATTTCAAAAAAACATTTCCTGCTGGGGTAACGTTTGAAACGTTACCGCAGCCAGACATTTTCTTTTTTAATTGTAATATTGAAATAAATTTTAGCTAAATAATTAGTTATCTGGACTAGGTAAATGTTACAACTTATTTGGTATTTGTATTTTCTTCGGCTGCGAAGTTATTCGAAATCCTGCTGGAGTAACGTTTGTGGGTTTGCTGGATCTCTGAAACGGGTAAACGGATTGTAACCATCTTTTGTACATAACTTCTTAAGGATTAGTTTTAATTTGTTCGACAATAAAATAACAAAAATAATGGACCGTTTAAAAATTATTTAGGTAAGTATGAAAACACTTCAATACGTCCTAACACATTAAATAAGACCTCTATAGACTTACTTGAAACGTTATTCTATTGCTTGTAACACCTTCAAATGTATACGAATTTTCGTAAGAATACTGTAAGTGACTAAAAAGTTATGATGAAATGTAGCTCTAATGTTCACGATCACAATGTGTGCGGCCTTTTTTGGCCACCGATAAACCTGTGTGTGGATATATAAACTGAATATTATGCCAATAATTAGTTGTTTAGTTCAGTTGTCTACCTGTAGAATTTCAGCGTCGTACATATAATAATTTACGAGATAATTAAATAAAAGCCATTAGAAGGTGCAAGTCCGTGGTAATCCGACCATGTTTAGGTGGTTACAAAAAAGCGATCACCCAGTACATTGCGCTGTCTTTTAAAATGTTTAGTGTAATACACCTTACGATTTCGGTACAGTTGCGTACAGTGTTAAATACTTTCAATATTTATTCATTATTATTACCTTGATTGATCTTAAGCACTAGTTTCTTTACTTAAAATTTATTTAGTCTTTTTTACTACCGGAGCTACAATCAACAGAAAATCTGCACTGGTCCGCTAAAATTATAAATATGTAGATACATGTATGAACGATTCACCTGACTGCAATAAAACGAAAATTTAAACCAATAACAAATCGTTTCATTTCTTTGTTTTTTTTTTTTGTAAAGAAATAACACTAAAGTAATTGTATTTTATTTTGGGGTGTTTAGAGCTTAGACTTGAATGCATCAAAATATTAAAAGCAACAAGTCATCTACAATAAGTTAAAATAGACCGAATAGTAGAAGAATACAGTTGTAAATTAGAATGCATCAACATTGCATCGCCCAACAGTCGTATATCCGTAAGAGTAGGTAATATTGTTCTGTGGTCTATACCTACAACCGAGAATTATCTATACCTATGTACCTTTTTTTTTTCCGTGAATACCTATGTACCTACCGTTAAGCGTTGAGCCCGTGACTGTTGATTTCTGTTAAAAACCAACAGTTGTTGAATGATATTTTGATATAATAACGGTAATTTAATTTATCGAGTGAAAGTGATACATTTTTATAGATAAAATTATTAGTCAGATAATATTTGTCAATCGAGAATCGCTGATAATACATCCTTCGCTAGAACGCGGGAGTGGAGGGGCGAAGGGATACTTCATTGTTTGCAATTTGCATCTAGTGCACTAAACTTGACCCTTAGGCAGATAATATACGTGTTGTAAAGTACGTGTGCGCTTCCGCTTTCTATTTTTGCAAATATTTAACGTATTCTTGAGAGTTCTTCAATATGTGTGTACCTAATTACTAATAATAGGCATTAATGATAATTCGATTCAATTTAAGTAATTGTCAATTCTTGTCTTAGGATATTAATTACTAATGCTAATATTGAAATTTCGTTCAGGGTGAACAAATTAAAAACGATCATAACTTTTAGGTAAATATATCACTTATTACTAATTTTACATAAATAATTTATTTTTTTATAATTTAACTCACCGCGATTTTGTGATCAAATATTTTATTTTCTCCAACATTATTACAGAAATAATGCAATACAGAGTTTGTTCGCGATATGCTAGCCTAAGTCGATTCATCACTTAAAAAAGTCCCCATCTATTCACAAAATACCTATTTACAACGCATACGTTACACTCTTCAAAACTTATCATTTCATTTCATATTTCTTAAATTACCTATACCTACCCTAAAATTAAACTTCAATTAACAAATACTACGCAGGTACCAATTCTATGAACCACTATAAACAATTCACCTAAACATTACGAGAAAACAAAAGCATTCAAAACAATACCTAATCTCCCGGCTGATTACTAATTATGCAATAAACAATCCTAAATAAAAAATATTTAAAAAACATGTAGTTTTTTGTAATACTCATGTACATATCCGTAGTAAACTTGCAAATAATATCCTACATATTCTAAAAGCCAGCACAATGTACTGGGTGATCGCTTTTTTGTAACCACCTAAACATGGTCGGGTTACCACGGTCTTGCACCTTCTAATGACTTTTATTTAATTATCTCGTAAATTGTTATATGTACTACGCTGAAATTTTACAGGTAGACAACTGAACTAAACAACTAATTATTGGCATAACATTCAGTTTATATATCCACACACAGGTTTATCGGTGGCCAAAAAAGGCCGCACACATTGTGATCGTGAACGTGGAGAGCTACAATTCATCATAACTTTTTAGTCACTTACAGTATTCTTACGAAAATTCGTATACATTTGAAGGTAGTTACAAGCAATAGAATAACGTTTCAAGTAAGTCTTTAGAGGTCTTATTTAAAGTGTTAGGACGTATTGAAGTGTTTTCATACTTACCTAAATAATTTTTAAACGGTCCATTATTTTTGTTATTTTATTGTCGAACAAATTAAAACTAATCCTTAAGAAGTTATGTACAAAAGATGGTTACAATCCGCTTACCCGTTTCAGAGATCCAGCAAACCCACAAACGTTACTCCAGCAGGATTTCGAATAACTTCGCAACCGAAGAAAATACAAATACCAAATAAGTTGTAACATTTACCTAGTCCAGATAACTAATTATTTAGCTAAAATTTATTTCAATATTACAATTAAAAAAGAAAATGTCTGGCTGCGGTAACGTTTCAAACGTTACTCCAGCAGGAAATGTTTTTTTTAAATAACTAAAAAAGTTTAAGTGAAACAAATTTAAAAATGTGCTTAACAATTACAGAAGGGGAGCAACTAATTATCTATAAAGTTTAAATGACCATTTTCGACATTAT